TAGGACCCGCCACTAATAATATTTTATTAGTAGGACCCGTTGCCTTTTTATTTTTCAAACATTGCAGCAACTTTCGATGGGATATTAAATAAGTGGGGGCCCGCCACTTAATTAAAATTCAACAATGACTGCTGGAGGCTGCTGACTAACAATCTCCCACTTGAAGATTTGATTGAGTATTAATCATATCTTCACATCATTCTTGGTTGCATCATCCAAATATCTTGTATCTTTGGCGTCTTGCATGGTCCTCAACGTTCGCAACGGATGACATATGAGACTGCATACAGCCTCACCTTCTCAAGCGAAACTGACTTGGTCAGCATATCAGCTAGATTGTATCTCGTAGCAATTTCACAAGTTTGAACTTGTTCCTGCTTTACCATCTCCGTATGGCATGATGCTTCATGCTAACATGCTTGGTCCGAGTAACGTCGTTCTCTGACAAGTGAATGGTACTCTGACTGTCGTAATGGATAAAGTATTTCTCAAAGCTTACCCTTAGCTCAAGAAGAAAAGCTTTTAACTATAACAACTCCTTTGCTGCCTCTGCTACAGACACGTACTCCACTTCGGTTGTTGACAAAGCCACAATATCCTATAACTTGAATCACCAACTTATCACTCCACCACATAAGATGAAGATGTAGCCGCTCGTGCTCCTTCTTGAGTCTATGTCCCTGACGTAGTCTGCATCACAAAAGCCTTCTAATTATAAATCCGTCTCATCATACTCAAGACAACGGTCAGACGAGTATTTCAAGTAGCGTAGAAGCTACTTGACCGCACCCCAGTGTTGTTTTCCCGGATTGCTCATGAAACGGCTCACAACCCCCACTCTTTGTATATGTAGACGGTAAAAAATACCTCTGCAAACTTGCGAGAAATTCGCCTGCAAAGAGAAATCGCCAACATAATTCGTTAGTACGGGTCCAAGCCGTGCGGTCGTCAAACGCACTCGTGTCCTAGGTTCGCCTGAATGATCGACTCGCCCGCACGAGTCGAGATCGACTAAATAACGGAAATTCACCTTTTTACAACTCGCCTGACCGAGTCTAAAATGGGATCCGCTTGCAAACCTCAAAGTCACCAGTATAGCTGGGTATCCGTTACCCCACGTGTCGGGGCGGGCTTTCCCATCTCTCTTGACCTGAAAGGAGAAGGCACAGTACTCCAGGCTCGTCGAGTAGCCGCTTACAGTACGAGTGATCGGACAGGTGCCAGATCAACCTGAACATTCATAAATGCAGCTCACCTCGTCCGTCCGAGTCAAGAGCTGGATCCGCCGGCATTCCGCGAGCTATCCAAACCCACTCGAGTACTGGGAACCCGCTTTCCCACCTCTCTCGACCTAAAGGGAGAAGGCACAGTATTCTAGGCCCGTCGAGTGGCCGTTTATAGTACAGGTGATCAGACAGACGCCAAATCAACTTGCGTGCTCATAAATGCAACTCAGCTCATCGGTCCAAGTCAAGAGCTGGAGTCGTCGGCGCGCAGTAAGCTGGCCAAATCCACTTGAGTAGTGGACAGCCGCTGTCTCACATACGAGGATGGTCTTTCCCACTCCTACGTGACATGATGTGAAGCACGACCCATCGAATGACCGTTCGAAGTACAGAGGGGTGGCAAGACGTCTCCAAACAATACATGGTCATATCCCATAATTCTAGGAGTGACCACGTGGTCTCTCCACCATTTAAGAACTTCTTCCAGCCACGAAGGAGAGGTTCAGAACTTCCTCCATCTACGAAGAAGAAGTTCAGCTGCTTTCAGCCATTCGGCGATTGGCTCATAGTTGAATCAGCTAATTGAACCACTAGCTCTCGAATCGGGTCGACTACCAGCTCTTTGCATAACCTTTGCACTGTAGCATCTCCTCTCAGTTCCAGGCCCTGATCGCCACCGAACTCGGAGAACCGAACTCCATTAACCTGAGCTCCTACTGTGTACTGAAGCTCTCCGGCAACCTCGGTCGAACCGTCCAAGGGAAGCAGACTCGGCACGAGAATCGAGCGAAGCATCCTGTAGCTACCGAAAGTCCCCACATTAAACAAGGAGGGCATTCCCTCTGCTTCTGTTGTAATTTTGATTTATTAGTTTGTAATAAGCTATACTTATTAATACAAACGAAGTTCCCTATTTTCGGGAGATCAAAATTTACATCTACAGAACATGGCGACCATAGTGGGAGAAGCTGTTTCTTCAACCGAAATGGTGGTAGCTCAGTTCGACGAAGTTGTTGTTGGGACAACTGTGGAGTCCCTAGAGATCGAGTTCGACTAAGCCAAGTACGAAGAGTACTTGTCTGTGTTAGACCTTAGAGGGGGGTGATTAGGGTCTTATGCTAATCTAATCCGATTAAATGCCAATTAAAATATATTAACAAGTTATCCTAGCAAGTATGAAATACAACAATGTATATGAGCTAGGATAAGCAACATGAACAACAAGATATATCCTAACAAAAAGATATAGGCAATGTATGTGCAAGGATATATAAACTCAAGTGTAAACAATCTAAACTAGATAGTGGCAATATAATCAACAAGCAATATACAAAGGCGATATAAGATATGAACATAAAAGAATGTGCGACAATGCAATCACAAACAAACAATATGATTACGGAGTTCGGTCCCCACGACCTACGTCTCCGCTCCTCACCTCGAGGAGATCTTCACTATCACAACCGGGTTTTCTACGTTCACCCGAACAACGTTTACACCTCACACTCGGTTTTCTAGCTAACCGAAAACTTTACAATCAACACACTATTGTAATCCCACTCTACACCCACTAAGTGTTGGACCTAGCCGTGTCTCCCTCAAGTGCTCGGTTACAACATCTCCCTAGGTTCGTCAACCGACGCCACTCCTCTTGGACTCGACCCCGTCTCTCACCACACACTTCTCTCGGTGTACAAGTGTATTACAAGTGAATCATCACAATTAGGCACAATACAAAGTGTTTGTTCTCTATAATGAATGAGAACGAATTATAAGCTCACTCTCTAAGTTACACAATCCCACAACCCAATTATACTATGAATGTAAATACAATAAGCTCAAAAGGTTGTGTGTGAACAAAGAGATATAAATCAAAACTAAACTCAATGTAGTTCTAGCTTAATAACAATGATAATCAAATATATAAAAAAGCTAGAAATAGAGTTTAGAAAACTTCTCAATATATCAAGAGTTGGAGGGAGAATAGTTGAATGCCCAAACACCAATAGATGATCTCCTCAAGCTCTTGTAGAATTGAATCACAAAAACAAACTCTCAATTTGCTTAAAAGCTTTTTAAACACACTTAAACCAAACTAAAACCCTTGTTAAAAACTTTATTAAACTTGATTAAAAACCCTCTTGGTTAGTTTAAGAGTTGAAGGCAATGGGGTACTTATACCCTCTCTCAACTCAGCCAAAAACCTGAGCAAAAGACAAAACACAACCCCAAGGCAACGGTCAAAAAACTAGCCGTTGGAAGCTGAAGGAACACTCGTCGGTCGACCGGAAAATTCGTCGGTCGACCGAAAATTTTCATCGGTCGACCGTACCGGTCGACCGACACTGATTTTAAAACATTGTTTAAAAATATCAAATAAATTCTAAAAAATGTAAAACTTTGGGGAATGATTGTAGACATGATAATAAACATGAAAATTGCATATACTTGAAAATATGATATACTTGAATTTTGATGTTTTGACATAAACCAACTTTTGAAACTTTATGAAATGTTTTTATAGACTTAGTAAAACATGTATAAACTGATATTGAAGTCTATAAACTAATAAGATAATATTTTCACAAAATTGCATATTCTATGCAATGTTATCAAAAACGCAATAGAAAATATGAAATATATAATTTCATATATATAACCATAAAAACTCAAAACACATGTATGTATATATATAACTATATATATACATAGAAAACAAAACTTATGTATATATATATATATATAACTATATATATATATACGAAGAAACCAATAAATGTGTGTGTATAGATATTGAGCTTAACATATTAAACACACATAATATAAATCCTAAACTAAATTACCCAAGCTTGATCTTGATCTTCATTGTAGCTCAACTTGGTACACGTTGTGGATGAAGCTGAACTTGGATCTTGAACTAGAATTTCATAAGCTTCACCGACATTCCGCCAACTTCCTTTGGCTATGATCGTTGAAGCTCTATTCCATCCATCCTCCAACTCGTTGTTTGTCTATAATAAATAAGAAAACACAAATACTAGACAAACAATATTAGTGGTAAATTGTTTGTTAAACATCATCAAAACAAGAAGGCCAACAATCTCCCCCTTTTTGATGATGACAAACAATTTACAAAAAGAAATATATGCATGAAGGAAATGAATATATAATTTATAATTCACATGCATATAAACAAGAAGGAATATACTCATAATATTTCTCCCCCTTTGACAATATCAAAAAGAGAACAAAAGAATTAAGAGAGCGAAAGCTCCCCCTATCAATAAGCATAGGTGAGTATAAAAAGATATAGGGATTGCCCCCCCTATCAAAATGCCATATGGAGAATATGAAATAAAGATCATGGCAAATATGTGAGCAAGCATAAAAGATATGATAACAATCATTCACATTCAAGAGATAATGAGAACACATATGAATATATCAATATGAAAAATAGTGTCTCATATCAAAGACCATAAAAACCATGTGTAAAGATAGATTTATGAAATCAAAAGAAAAGGAAAATATGAGAACCATGAAAAAAGTTTTCAAGTGAAAACAAATCACTCAAATGAAATCATAAATCAAGATTTGAGTCCAAAAAACAATGTTTGATCAAAAAGAAAAATTTTCTTTACATAACTTGATCAAACCACTCATAGAATACATTATAAAGCACGAATAGATGATCCATTAGCACAAACACATAAATATCATCATATAAGTGAAATTTAAAACATAATTTTCAAAACCAAGACAAAGAAAAATAAAAATACTAAAATTCTTGGTTTAAAATCAAATTTATTTTGGTACCCAAGTAATTTTGGTACCAAAAGGTTTAGGGACATGACCCCTATCATTAAAGCTCAAAGCCCTTGGGTTATGAACTCATTTGGGCGCATTTAGTGCACGGGTCCGATCATAGCAATAATTATACAAATGACCCATTCGATTGCAATAAGTACAATGAAGAGGATGCATTTGATTATGTTGACCATGTGGATGTGCAATAAGTACAATGAAGAGGATGCATTTGATTATGTTGACCATGTGGATGTGCACGAGGAACATTTGTAAATAAAGATGGTTTTTTAAGATTATTTTGCAAATGAGAAACATTTTGAAACAATGTTGGTCTACTTGAAATATTTTGCGAT